CAAACATTCGTACTTATTAAGCCACTAGCGCTAGTGTTTTTTTTTTTTATTAGCTTATTTTGTTTTCGTTAAGAAAAACATTTCTAATTACAAATTCTAGTTTTTTTTTTCTATATAATTGGCGTAATTACCAAATGATTCAATAATAATCCCTGCGGGTGTAATAAAAATATGCCCTGATGGGGTAAAATACTTCCGAATAGGGTAGTTTTGTGATTCAATTTATAATCCCTAAGTGGGCGTAAGCCCGAATGGGTAGTTTAGAAAATAATTCTAGGTATGGATAATTAATTGTCTTTTTCAGAGTGACTCCATCCGATATGGACAGTTGTCTTTTTTTTTCAAACCTAAATTAGTTTGTTTCAAACCTAAAATCTGGGGGGTATTGTCAATAATTCGCAAAGATTGATGAGTACTCATAAATCTAAAACTAGTGCAATCATAGGTAATTAAAACCAAATCCAAATATACCGTTGTATCATTGAATAGTACAACCAACCATACCATTAATTAGGTAATTTCAAAATAGTGAATAGTGGTAATCTCACATATCCACCAAAACATCCAATAGTTATACCATTAATTGAATGATTTCAAAATAGTAGTTAACCCACATGTCCTGAAACATCCAATTATAGCATATTATCTTAATGTACCTTAAAGGTCTTATACGAAAAGCATAATGAGCATAAAATTTAGCTTATAAAATCATAAAGTAATCCCACAAACATATATGAAAAAAAAGAAAAATTATATATATACACAAAAAAAGTACATTTATAATACAATAAATATAAAATAAATATAAAAATAAATAAAGTTACATCTATATGTTTTAACAAAAAACAAATTTCCAATGTCCTTCGTAATGATCTTCAGATCATTTTAACATCTCTAGCTCGTAATTGAGCTTATTCTAACTGTTATTCTGAATTATTAATTTCCTTTCTTTTGTGCCTCAAAAGAAAAGTATGTTCCGTCAATTGTTTCACCCGAAAACATTTTATAAATAAAATGAATTCGTATAATCTTTCAGCATTTTATTCGAAACTTCCATTCGAATAGTGTATATGTCAACAGATATTTTGTTTTTAACAAATAAATTTGTGTTTTTGTCCCAAAAAATAAATAGTAGTTTGTCGGTGTATTATAAAATGAAATTGGTTTTTGTACAATGAATTACATTTGAAAAGAGCATTCTTTTTCTTTTCTGTAACGTTCATCATTCAAAAAAAAAGCAATTCTTTTTTTTCGACAAGTACATTATTTTTTTTTCTGTAACGTTTATCCAAATCAAATCCTTAAATGCTTTAAACGAGGAAGTAAAATTTGCAAACAAACGTTGTAGTAATTAATCAATTCATATTATTTTACATTTTCAAAATCATTGAAAAAATCAAAGGAAAAAAAAGGTTGATTCTTGTCAAGCGGACTTTCAGATGTCAAGCGGACTTCGAAAAGCAAATTGCTCTTATATAGTTGTGTCGAGCAACCGAAATTCTTTATTAATTATCATGCATAAAATTTCTTGATTATGATTGCAGTTTCTAATTTTTGACAAGGCCGTTAAAACTTTAAGCAGTGCTACAGGATTCCTAGATTATAGATTCCCCGATTATTGGCTGTAATTTCTAATTTTTGACAAAGCCGCTCAACAAACCTTAAGTAGTACTACGATTTGAGCATATGTAAAACTTGCTGATTTCATTGTGGGAATTCTTGAATTACCGTAGGCGAATTGTTGCATGACTCACCATTACACACTAACGTAAAAAAGAACAAAAAAGTAGGTATTTAATACAAATATTTATTTTTTCGGAAGGTTGGGATTTGTACTCGTGACTTTATCCGGCTACCTTTTAACAAGGAACTACTACTTTAAGCGCCACTAGGCGTTACACCACCTAAAATTTTAGAATTCTATGATAACGTAAACAGGAAAACTCAAGGTTTTTACTAAGTAAAATTGCTTAGTGTGAATTTTAAACGTACATACGTACACACATATACGTATATTTTTTCTTAATATGTTTTTATTCTGTGTATATATTTTGCAATTCGTGTGAATTATGCTCTCCTGATACACTTACAATCCCTCTCCTGATTTTCTAATTCGTGTGAATTATGCTCTCCTGATCTTATTATAGAAAGAAAATTTTTTTAGTCATGTTAAATGAATGGTAGAAATATGTGTAATATGTGTAATATCTGATATGATGTTATGTGTACGTATGTACCGGTACGTATGTACGAATAAAATTATTAACCGATTAGTACGTATCTAATCGCTTGTTATGTAAGCAATTACTATTAACTTTACTATTTAACCTATCAATCATTCTATAAACGTATACAATATCATTTCCATTTTTAGAACTGTATACGTATTTTTATCGTCACGTAAAGGTAACAAACTTACACTCTGACTTATGCGTAGTATTTACGAGATATAGTCTAACGTAACAATCTAACGCCAAAATTTTAAGATCAGGTGTTACATGAAAAATTTTTTTTTTTTTGCTCTGAAAGAATTCCTTATAATTTTTGAAATAAATGAAGCTCTAACCTTAATAATGAGTTAACCTGATGAAAAAAATACACCCATGTTTAGTGTATACACCCATATTTAGAGTATCTATTCATGTTATATATTTCATTTTGATACATATATATACCAATATTCATTCCTACGTACTCATTTCTAATACGTACTCATTCACCCTACTCATTCCTAATCATTTTTCTTATTTAACACATTCAACCTGTTACACATACTGAACGTAGTACGTAAGCAATAGTAAAAAAGATGCCGATTATATTCACGATCTTCACAATCGGATCTATTTTTTCCTGGAACGAAATCTTGCTCATTGCCAATTTATACGTGTAAATGACAAGTAAACGAGAGGGAGTAAACAAATCTCAGGTCATGTGTGAATTCAAAAGGTTAATTATGTTTATTTCAGGTAAGGCAATGTACGCTTTCGATATTCAGGGTTTTTTCTGCGGTACCGAACTGATATGTCTGGAAATTGTACTATAAATCTCTTATTATAGGAATTTCTTATTATAGTAATATCTGGTTTAGCATTAACTATAGCGATAGTAATATCTGGTTTGGCATTAAATACGTGATACGTACTAAACGAAGAAGTGGCTTCCTACATTACTATATTAAGAGGTATTAATCGTGCTTACCTATACAATTCGGTACTACTACTGTAAAAAGAGCCAAGTCTAAGCCAACTCAGGCTTGTCCAAATCTTTTTTAGAAATTCATTCTGTATACGTATAAGGAAAATACTTACTATACAAATAACTGCTACGTATATACGTATACGTACTATACAAATAATGTATAACTGTAATTCTAAACAGGTTATTTATAATGATGATAATAAACATCATAATTATTACTATCTTTACGGTATAATACCCGGGTACAAATAGTAATTCTCTTATAATTATTACGTATATAATACGTATTAAATAAATTCTTAGATTTACAATTTTTATTAATTAAAAAAAAACTATACTATATATTTTATTTTCATGTTCTAATTTAATTTATACAAAAATCTTATAATATCTTCTCAAAATAGATAAAAGATAGTATAAGTAATACTTTAAATCAATTGATTATTTATTAAAATATCACCTATGCTATATTTTATTCCTTGAATTGTTATAGGTTTAATATTTTATTTTACTTTTTTTTATTTAATTCTACTTTTTAAGCTTTTAATAAAATTATATATATAAATTAAAAACAGCTTGTTAATATATCAATAACAAATCATAGAAATTATTATATAGATTTTTAAATTTTTGCAATTATATATATACTTTACAGAAAAATCAATTTAGTAACTTTAAAACTACTTTAAAGCAACTATAAAGTAACCATATATATATAGTAACTATAGTTTTAAAGCAACTATAAAGTGGCTATAGTTTTAAAACTATTACAAAATAGCAATACGTCTACTACTTACTACTATTTTACTACTATTTACTACAATTTACTATATTTTTAATACAATTTTATAAAAAATTTCTAAAAATCAAAGTTATAATTTTTTGAAATATATTAAAATAGTAGTAAGTAGTAGTAGGCGTATTGCTATTTTGTAGTAGCTGTAAGACTATAACTGCTATATATAAAGTAACAATATAGCTACTGTATAGCTACTTTATAGACTTTAAAGTAGTTCTAAAGACTATTTCTGTGATGTATATTGTTTATATAATACGTATAATTATAATTATACTTTATCCAGTGTTTAAAATTCAAAATAAAAATCACTTGCACAAATATACATTTTATACGTATATTTTGTGCAGCCTTTCTTTAAAAAATTTATATACTTGCTCATTTTTTAAAAATCCAAAAACAATTCTTGTGCATTCCAATTTTAAGTCATGACTCTATCATTACATGAAATTTTACGTAATTAAACAAATAAAAATAAATCTTATTTTTTTAAAAAAAATTTTTTTCTTGCAAATATTTTATACGTACGTAAATATATACCGTAAACAAAGATTACAAGGATTATTAATGTTTTAAGATATGGGTTTGGCCAAATGTTTTAGTTTATTCAGTTTAAGTTATCATAAAATACATAAAAAAACTGAGAGTATGCTAAACTTATACTATAGCTCACTTGTTAAATAAAATACAAGTATATTCTTAATATAGTTAGTAATATAGTCAGAACAAGTCACCTGATTGATTGATTGATTAAATCATTTTTTTTTAGCTGTTTACCCAATTGTTCTAATTTATGTGTAACAAGATTTCCTCTTGAACCATGCATGCCGATATTTTTTTGTGTTTAATGATCTGCCATCTTCAAACAAATATAGCAATAGTTAACTCATATATTAACCTCATATGCATTACCAAATCGGTAACCTCGGGACCTTCCTCCGTCATTATTTTTTTTTTTTAATAAATATATATAATCTTATTAATCAATATGGTCAGTAAATTAATTATGAGTAACCTCATTCCTCCAGAGTGTCTTCAGCTTATATTCAATAACTTAAAAGATGATCGTATATCATTACATTCTTGTCTTTTGGTGAATCGAAATTGGTGCAGAATTACAATCTGTATATTATGGAAACAACCTTTTCATCTATTATATGCTTGTAACAGAACTCCTTCTGTAAATAGAGGCCCTTCTGTAAAACGTCACTCTCAAGTAACTAATTTATTAGACTCTTATATTTCTTGTCTTATACACCTTAACAAGGACATTTTAGTCGAAAAATCCATTGTTGCTCACTCAATTACTCCACCAATGTTTAACTATGTGCAATTTTTAAAATCTCTTGATCTTTATGAATTATATATGGCTATTTATGATTATAAAGATTCTAAATTAAATGGAAAAAAGTCTCGCTTTCCTCTGACTTCAAAGTTTAATAGTATTCCTAGAAAACGTCCTCCTATAAAATTGGATACTACTACTACTCATTTAGTAACTTCTGAGGATTGCATATTAGTTTTGAATTTTTTTTTTCGTGAAAATTTATTTGATTTGACGGAACCAAATCATAATGATGAATATTGTTGGATGGGTATGTTCATGTATAAATTTTTCTTGGAACATTCAAGTTCAATTGACAAACTTTCAATCGGTGCTAGATCTGGTTCTAGTATTTTATCTTTATCAAATCAAAACTTTCATTTAAATAGAAAATATATAAACGTAGATGATTGTTTAATAATTCCTCCTTGTTTAAATTCTTCTAATTGTTTACCAAAACTTACTAAATTGGTTTGCACTACTCGTTATCGGAAGGCTAATTTTCTATCAAGTATCGCAAAGATTTGTCATTATATAAAAACTTTAATAGTAAGAGTTGATTGTGATATGACTTATTCTTTATCTTTTCCTTTAATTCCAATTTCAAGAAATTCAAGAATTATTGAACATGAATCCGTATCAGAATTAATTAAATCTCAAAGAGGATTAGTTCATCTTGAAATAATATCTTGTTCTATTGGATTAGGAAATATCATGTCAGCTTTAAAATCTCAAGTAGCTACTTTACGTTCTTTACATTTCACCAATATAGATCTAAGTTATGTTTTAAATCATTTAACTTCTTTAACAAATTTAATTACTTTACAATTTTATAATTGTTATTCTACAAGAATTGATTTCTCTTTGGATCAAGTAATCAATTTATCAAAACTTGAAACTTTACATTTTGATGAAGATAATGACGATTCTTCTTTTCCTTTAAAATCTATTCCTGTAAAAATTGTTGAAACTATTATTGACTCTTGTAGTTTTAATTTAAGTTGGTTACATTTAGGAAAATTATCTTATCCACTGGACTTGGATGGTGTAATTAATCAGAATTCTATTAGATTCATGGCTCCGAGATTTTATAATTTAACTTACTTCAAAATTAATATAGAATGTAAAGAACAAATACCTCAAGTTATTGATCTAGTTAAAAATTGTTCATATTTGGAAACTATTATATTATGTCAAAAAGGTTATTTTGAAAAATCTTTAAGCGTATTTGAAACAAATTATATGCTGGAAACATTAAGAAAGAATGGATTACCTACTACTTTAAAATGTTTTGCTCTACATGGAAAATGGTGGATGTTTACTTGTGTATCATTGGAAATTTTTCTCGGTTTAAATATAAATTCTTTTGAACAGAATTTTTATCATGGTAAAAATCCTGTATTTGAACTTGATCTTACAGGTGCTTCTCAATGTTTTACGAATCAACATCTTAATGCTATTTTAAAAGCAAATACTTATAGATTGATTGTTAAAAAAGTTTTATTATCTTCGTGTATATTACCAGAGATGTTGAGTCCAGAGATGATAACTAAAGCAGGTGATTTGATTAAAATAGTAAAACCCGAATCTGATAAAATTGGGTGTATCCATTAAATATAGCAGCAGCAAGGACATTTTTTATATAGTAATTAAATGTAGATATTTTAATATAAATAGGACAATTTTTTTTTTTTTTGTTTATATTAATACTAGCAAATAAAAACAATTATTTGAAAAAAATAACTTTAAAGTTATTTATTTCCTTTTAATTTATTAAAATAGTACTAGAGTAGTGTTTTTAATTATACTTTATAATCACCTTTTATCTATCAACTTGAAAAGAGAAAATCAAATTAAGAATGATGAGAACGTAATTTTACATGTATATTGTAAATTGATGTTTTAAGTTTATAATCACTAACTCTAACAAAAAAAATCTTATCTGAATATAAGCCACATCAAAAATGTCTAGATTCTTGAAGGTATCTCTTATCAATCACTTTATTAATCTCTGATTAATAAACCTGAAGGATTACGGTAAGGTACTTATATGTAAGAACACAACATATTAATTTAGAGCTTATGACGGATAACACTTTTAGAATAACTTTCCATTATTTAGGCTGAGATACCGATAGTTAATATATGTTTAAATGATGAGATGTTGAATTTCGCGAACAATCTGAAATTCGGATGGTGTTCAAATTATTACATCTAATGTAGTGTTGTCAACCGGTTTGTTCATTGGTAATTGTCGCATCCTTTTATTGTATTGTTTATTGCGTGGCGTGATAAATAAAATAATAAAATAATGTGACAATTACCAATGAACAAACCGTTTGACAACACTAATCTAATGTGATCATTTGAGTTCACAACGTATAAATATATGGCAAAGTATAAATTATAAACATTGATGTTTAATATCACAATTGATTTCCTTATCTCTATTATGTCTCTTCGCATAACAATTTATAAAGTAGCAGCAGAAAACAATGATATATATAGTGAACACTAAACCGAACCTAGATGAACCGAACACTCAATAAATTTTGTCTACACTTAAGTTTCGGTTTAATACAATCCAAACAAGCTCTGAAAGTTCTGTATGGATGGAGAGTATGGCTGTATACGTATCACTTATGTTTTATCATCAATAGGATTTCAAAATTGCAAATATATATTGAAGCTCTAATACTATTATTAGTAATGAGCAAAAATGTGACCTTTTCCTTTCAAATTTCCAATACAAAAACACATTTATTATTATTATTAAAAAACGTTAAAGTTTCTGAATTAAATACGTATACAGCAGATACGTAACATAACATAAAATAATTCAAGACTACACAATAAACACGGATTTATTTTTGAATTCGATTTAGGTTTGTCCAATAATATTTATTTATCGTTTATTTATATATTTATTTTTTGGGGAATTTACAAATAAGGACCCAGAAAGTGAAAATAACTACAAATACGGGCCCAAATTAAAAATAATTACACATGAGGGCCTAGTTTTTAAAAAAATACTACATATAGGGGCCTAAGTATGAAAAAACATGATCACGAAACTACTGTCCACAAGGTACTCTGACCATTTGACTTATAACAATAGCAAAATCGCGA